TTAATGCTAGCTATAGACTTCTATTTTCAATGTAGAAATAAAAAAGTGGACTACAGGAAAGCAGACAGAGGAAAATCAGATTGTGAACAGTTCTCCATCTTCTTAGAAGGAAAAGCAGCAGATTTCAATTCATCAGGTACCTAGTTTCACTCATATTAAAGTGATAAACTTACATTGTTTTATAATTTAAGTGGTTACATGCGAAGTATCTCTTGTAAAAAAAATTGCAATGATCCCATGATATGCCAGTAACATGTAGTCAAAACTTAATTTATTCCAGGGTTCAACCCCAGGAAATACCATGTCTTTTGTGGAAGAGTTGGCACTTCAAATATATGAAATCAAAATAGTTTGCAATAATCTGAATACTGAATATCTATGTCCAAACAGACTTGAGCCCTTAAAATATTTTTTATATAAAAATCAAACACAACCTTTGAGCCTTACTCAGTGAAAACCTCTTAGGTGTTGTTTCAAAGATCCCTTACATCTTTATTCCCTGAGGAGCTTATTGAACAAATACATTGTGCATTTTGTAAAGTACATTAGGGCAACAATTTGATAAATTTCAGAACCTCATTCAAAATTAGCCATTTCTGTGTAGAATCTATTTTAAAAAATCACTTACTTACTTAGACGATCCCTCGTATTCTGAGGACGATGGTCCTCCAAGGTCGGTGTTCTGGTGGTGGGTCCGTAGGTGACTGTTGAGCCCTATTGATCTGCATCTTCTCCCACAGTGGGGGCATCCGTTTCCATGTGGAAGGTGGTCCTGGTCAGGGTTGGCTTGATGCACCTTCCTCTTGGCACGTTTCTCTCTTTCACCCTCCATTCGTGCCTCTTCAAATTCTACAGCACTGCTGGTCACAGCTGACCTCCAACTGGAGTCAAGGGCCAGGGCTTCCCAGTTCTCAGTGTCTATGCCAGAGTTTTTAAGGTTGGCTTTGAGCCCATCTTTAAATCTCTTTTCCTGCCCACCAACATTCAGTTTTCCGTTCTTGAGTTCGGAGTAGAGCAACTGCTTTGGGAGATGGTGGTCAGGCATCCGGACAACTGGCCGGTCCAGCAGAGTTGATGGCGGAGGACCATCGCTTCAGTGCTGGTGGTCTTTGCTTCTTCCAGCAGGCTGACGTTTCCCCGCCTGTCTTCCAAGAGACAACTACTGTGCTTTAAACCTCAGCAGAAAACTTGCATTGTTTCCCACTTGGAAGTATAACAACAATATACATGACATTACTATGTGGTGACTAAAAGTTTTTTGTGGCTCGATCAATATACTTCTGCTGGTATTTTGGCTGTTCCAATGTCTTAAAATAGATATCTCAAGAAGTCATCACAAATTTGAATTGGGCCATGCAATATTTAAATTGAGATATCTTCATTAGTCCTATATGAAGGTTAGGATAAAATTTCTTAATATGTTTGTGTAACTTTTTTTGCGGAGTTTAGATAGTGATTCAGAAGAGACCTCATTCTGTGACCGTCTCAGTTCAAGTACTGATGCATGTCTGGAACAAAACCATGGCTCAATTACAGTGGATTCAAACAAACCAAACCAAGGTAGAATATTTTGTATGATATATAATGTGGAGAATTTTGAAGATAATATTAAAATATAATCTGTCTTCTTGAGGACATTCATATGTATAAACACCTTTGAGTGCATATATTCCTTGCTGGATTAAGAAAAATGATACAATTGAAAGCAGACCAGCCTGGAGATTCAGCCTGTATACAATGCATTGTACTAGAAGGGATGCATTTTTCAGTTAGGCAAGTAAACATCTATTCATGTCCAAACAAAAGAAGGCCTTTTACATGAGTTCATTTACATGTGACTAGATCTGGATTGAATCCAAGTCATCCAGCTGAACAAAAATTATTTGTGCTTAAATCCTGCATTGATCTTAGTGGAGCAAGTTAAGTCGCAGCATGACAGGCCTTTGTTAAATGGGGCTGTGTGCTGTAAACAGATGCAGATTTACAGATACAATTGTGTTCATATCTATTCTAGCCGGTTGTTCCTCTGTTAAAGATTAGTGTGGTGTTTCTTCTTTAAACGGGAGGGAAATCTATCAGTTCCAGTTTCTCTTGCATTAGAATTTGCATTAGAATTTAGAACAGGAAACTTTTCAATTTTTGTTACATAGTGTAATATGTGAAGCCCCATCTACATTGCCATATAATGCAGTCAAACTGCATTATGAAAGTGTATTATATGGCAGTGTAGATGGGGTCTTAATTTCAGTTTCTACCATAGTCAGGTTTCTATTCCAGTTCTTCCCATCTGGAATTAATAATGTTAAATACTGGTAATTTTTTATCAAAACTAGAAGAAACAAAGTTCTCATATGTATATATCGTCATCAAGTTCAAAGGTTTATTTTTGAATAGCAGTTTGTCCTTCAACATTAAACCACACATCAAGTTTGACTTTTGCTTAACAGTAACACTTTCCCAGGCATTCAAGACTGCAATGCAGAGTTTTCCGTTGGAAGATCTGGTAGTTTTCACAAATATGTTCAAAATACTTAAATTAGAATGTATAGAAACAGGCTGAGTTGTACTTACCAGTTTTCTTGCTTATGTTTCAGTAGACTTACTCCACAGTATAATTCATTTTTTTATATGAACAAAGACACAATTATATTAAAGGATGCAATAAATCTGAAATTGGCACATCCTCCAGATTTCTGATTAAATGAAACATAGTGCTTAAAATGTCATATTGTAGCCTCTAGATAAGATTGTATCTATACATCCTTCAAAGAAAAACATCAAAATATACTCAGTTCAAGGCTAACCAGAAGATGAAATGATAAGACCCAATTCCTTTCAAATGCAGAGAGCAGAGAAAAGAGAGTCTTTGGAAGAATTTAACTTATATTTTTCTAGTTCCTTGTTTGCTATAGAGTCCAGATTTATAATGGAGTTGTTTAACTATGTTGTACGTATATTTTGTCAGTTTCACTAGATTCCAAACTCTTTTCGGCTACTTCGGAATAATAATGTAAGCCTTTAAAATGTTAATTCTTTGGGAGCAGATGACTGAAGGAGCCACCCCAATGTCCCTACAAACACCTTTAAATAGTTCTCAGAGTAGAATATCTCAAAACAACTCACCTGATACCATGTTTATGATATTTTAGGTACCAGTTGAACACCTACCTCTTTATCAGGATGGTTTAAACCAGGGGTCCTCAAACTATGGCCCGGGGACTGGATGTGGCCCTCCAAGGTCATTTACCTGGCCCTCGCTCACGGTCAATCTAAGTTTAAAATGACTTAAAAGCACACAACAACAATCCTATCTCATTAGGCAAAAATAGGCCCACAATTCCCATTGAAATACTAATAATTTTATATTTGTTGAAATTGTTCTTCATTTTAATTATTGTATTGTTTTTAAGTGTTTTTTGCACGACAAATGAGATATGTGCTGTGTGCATAGGAATTCATTTTTTTTTTCAAATTATAATCCAGCCTGCCAACAGTTTGAGGGACTGTGACCTGGCCCTCTGTTTAAAAAGTTTGAGGACCCCTGGTCTAAACAATCATATAATCTGCTTTTGATTTTCTTTGTATTCTGCCGTACGCTGTACAATTTCTGGTTTTGCTGCTTTTGTTTATGCTGTTGTTTGTAGCCATGATTTTCCTTTTAAAGCATTTTAAAATTTTATTTTGAGACGCCAAAATGCTATGGAATAGCCTACAGGGTTTGTATGTTAATCGACATTGTGTAAAATATTTTTTGCGGCAGTAAAGCAGCCTGAATTGTTCTAACCTTTTAGGGAAAATGATGATAATAAAGTCTACAATTTAAAGACTTTAGAGTGGCGGATTCAAAAGGTTTTCACTACACAACCGCTCTTGTTTGTAAACTTCAATCTGCTATAAAAATAATATATTTACTTCAAAGAATAATACCTTTTCTAATTAATTAAATGACAGTAATTGCCCTTATTGTTCAGATCTTCACTGCTTACAAAAGATGTCTGGAGCTGAGATCATGGATATACCTGTTTATTAACTTACTTATTAATTACCGTTTTTCAAAATTTCAGCTTCTTCACAAAAGGCAGATACCGGCTTTCAAAGAATTTATGCAGATAAACAACCAGAACAGTTTATAGACAGACTGTGGGAAAGGTAAAGTACAGCATCAATTTGAAACACACCAGCCCACTTATAAATGTAGCTGTAAGTTGAACTTTCATATGTAGGTTTGTTATCCCCTT